GCTAGCTGTCATCTATGCCCTTGAAAAATTCAGGTCATACTTACTTGGAACCAAAGTGATCATCTATACCGATCACACAGCTCTTAGGTTCTTGATGACAAAGAAGGAGGCCAAGCCAAGGTTGATTCGATGGATACTCCTTCTAAGTGAGTTTGACGTTGAAATCAAAGACAAGAAGGGCATGGAAAACTTGGTGGCGGATCACTTAAGCCGACTCATTCTTGATGAAGGAAATGATCATGCCAAGGATGACATCCGAGGGGAATTTCCCGATGAGACTCTTTTCTCTCTAAACGAAATTCGCCCTTGGTACGCTCACATTGTTAATTTCCTTGTATTAAACAGGTTCTCGCCAAGCTTCTCTAAATCTCAAAGAGAGAAATTTCAACACGATGCCAAACAATATGTGTGGGATGAACCTTATATATGGAAACATTGCAAGGATCAAGTCATTAGAAGATGCATTCCTGAGACCGAGATAGCATTCATCCTTGCATTTTGCCACTCACACGCTTGCGGAGGACACTTTGGAGGAAATCGTACATCAATGATGGTACTCGAATGCAGTTTTTGGTGGCCTAGCTTGTTTCGAGATGCTCATGTCTACTGTCAATCTTGTGACAACTGTCAACACATGGGCAACATCTCTCGAAAGCATGAAATGCCTCAAGTCCCGATGCTCTATGTGGAAATCTTTAATGTATGGGGTATAGATTTCATAGGACCTTTTCCTAACTCCCATGGCAATGTATACATTCTCTTGGCGGTGGACTACGTCTCAAAATGGGTGGAAGAAAAACCCACCAAAACAAATGATGCCAAAGTGGTGGCGGACTTTCTCAAATCCCGCATCTTCTCAAGGTTTGGAGTACCACGCATTTTAATAAGTGACAGGGGCACTCACTTGTACAACAAAGCTGTGAGTGCCTTGTTAAAAAAACATGGCGTCACTCATAAACTCTCCACCGCCTATCATCCACAAACAAACGGCCAAGCTGAAGTCTCAACAGGGAGTTGAAATCTATACTCCAGAAGACGGTGAATCCCAACCACAAGGATTGGAGTCTTCGCAGGGATGATGCCTTATGGGCATATAGAACCACTTTCAAGACCCCAATTGGTATGTCACCCTATAGACTCGTGTTCAGGAAGGCCTGTCACCTTCCGGTCGAACTCGAACACAAGTTTTATTGGGCAGTGAAAACATTCAACCTTGACATGGAGAAAGCGGGTGAACAAAGGAGGCTATAACTCCAAGAGCTCGAGGAGCTCCGCCTTGAATCATATGAGAACGCCTCCATCTACAAGGAAAAGATGAAGGTATGGCACGATAAAATAATTATAAGAAAGGACTTCCACATTGGAGACAAAGTCCTTCTCTTTCGATCACACCTTCGTCTATTTCCCGGGAAACTCCGTTCAAGATGGGAAGGACCATTTGAGGTAGTCAAAATCTATCCTCACGGAGCGGTGGAAATCAAGAGCCTCATCACCGACAAAGTTTTCAAGGTCAACGGTCAGCAACTGAAGTCGTTCCTTGAAAATTTTAAAAAAGAAAACGTTGAAAGCATGGATCTATGTGATCCAACCAAAGGAGAATGAGCACAATCATGGCGTCGTGCCATGACGTTAACTAAAGCGCTTCTTGGGAGGCAACCCAAGCAAAGTACGTAGATTTTTGTTTACTTTTTCTTTTTTTCAAAGTTTCATTTTATGTTTTGAGAGAATGAAAGGGAGGGCACTAACCGCATGTTTCAAAGGAGAATAAAATACAGGTTTTTGACGATCTGGGGATATACCCGATCGGGTACCATGTATTACTCAGTCGGGTATGGATAAAAAAGGGGGACCGAGTCACTACTCGATCGAAGGAGTATAATTTTTTCAAAAATACATGGATACTCGATCGGGTACAATTACATACCGGTCGAGTATTCATAGAAAAGCGAAGCTCAAAAAAGCCTGCCTCGAAGACTCGATCGAGTAAGGAGCTCAAAATGTGCAAAAAGACGAATAACCGATCGGGTATAACTTCCTACCCGGTCGGGTAGTGCTGGAAATTCCAACGCCCAAAACCCCTGCCTCCAGCACCCGATCGGGTATAACAAGATACCTGATCGGGTATGCATGAAAAACCGAAGCCCAAACCCGCTGCCTCCTATACCCGATCGAGTATAGCAGGATACCCGATCGGGTACACCTGCATTTTAACCCCAACCAATACCCAAAAACTCCATCTTCTTCAACTCTCAACCCAAAATTCGAACCCCTCTCCCCCAAACCTCCATTTTCAAACCTTCTCTCTACCATATCTCCCTCATTTCTCCATCAAATCACCCCATTCCACCACCAAAATACTCCCCTCACTCTCCTCTACACACTCATACCCATAAATCCAATTTTACCTCAAATTCCCAAAAATCCGAAAACCCTACATCCATTTCGAATTTTAAATTGTAAAGCTCTCAATCCACCTAAATGGCACCGAGGAAGTACAGAGGAGAGAGCTCCAACGACATGGCACCCATCCCAGGCTATGAGGACCTCCGTTTCACCAACACCGAACACCAGGCTCGATTCCTCACCACAATTGCAAGGCAAGTTAAACCATCCCGTTTTCTATGCCATGAAGCTCTTCGTGAATTAGGAATTTATAAGAGCACTAAGAAATTCTTTCATGAGTTGGATATGGACCGTATTTTCAAAATGAAATACAACTCTAATGAACGAATTATCTATGAATTCTTGAGTTCGGTGAAGTTTGATAGCAATGAGGCTAATTTTAGGGATGACAAACTCATGTTTCGTCTGTTTAACCATGACTATTCGTTAACGAAACTTAAATTTGCTGAACACTTTGGCATCCCCGTCCCCTACGAAAGAGCCATTTCCGATAACACTGTTTTCGGTCATACACTTTGGGCAAAAATGACCGGTGAATTGAATTTTAGCTCCTCCCAACTGTACATTAGCCATGTCCAACACCCCGTCCTCCGGCTATTTTTGAAATTCTTGGCAAATTGCTTGCTTGGGCGCCCCAACAATCATCATACTAGGATGGGGGACATATGTTTGATATCTGTAGCCTTGTTGCGTCGTACTGTGGATTTCAATTTGTGCAATTTGATGTGGGCACACTTGAAAAAAGAGAGCACGGCCAAAGGGTCAATTGTTGTGGGTGGGGTGATTATGCATTTGGCAAAAAAGTTCGGGTATATGGATGACTAGCTCTCCTATACCCAACTACTGTTTGATGAATATGGCTTGGTTAGGCCACTCGGGGTGCACATCTTTTTCCCACACGGTGTATGGTGATGAACAACCAAAAAACATGTACAACTGGCTCATACACCCAAAACCTATTAAACACTTCCTCATGCCTAACCCAGACCTCCCCAAACTATTGTACAAAGTAGAGGTACCCCACTACCTGTTCCCGAATGCCCTTCCACCACATTTACAAGATCCTCAACACGACCATCTTGACGACGAGCCTCACGCCGCGCCACAAGATCATGAGGACATGGACACGGATATCCCCGAGCAGCCCCAAGACCCTCCACCACCTAACTATTTCCAACAACTTTTGGAGGGTTAACAACAATTACTTGCTGGGTACAACTAAATGAACGCCAACTACACGACCATGGGAGAACTGTTGGTGGAAATTCGGCCGAATAAACATGCAAAAAACGTTAGAAAATAAAATAGCTCGAGTTGCGTAAATGCTGTCCTCAAGAAAGTATTTCCGACTAGCAAAAACCTTTCCCCAAGATAAAACGAGCTCTTCGGCTTATGCCGGTAACAGAACAACGAGATTAAAATAAAATTAATCCAGTTGAGTTGTAATATATTAGGGGATGTTCAACTCAAAAGTAATTTTTGTTTGGCTAATTTTTGTAATAGATTAAAGAGTATTATTTTCCTTAAAGAGCAAAAACGATTGAAGTTTTAAGGCAAAAAAACTCATGTTTTCCACTACGCACACATGCATATATATATATATATATAATATGCTAGCCAAAGCAACCGAACGTTGGAGTGTAATAATTACTCTTAATAATACGTAGTTAAAGCTAGCAGCTCATTTGTTATTTAAAACAAATTGCTCAAAATATTATTCAATGTTGCAAGAGATTAAAGGATGCACGTTAGAAACATATGCAACATTGACTATGACGGTTAATCACTTTGAGAACAATTATTGGATCAAATTTAATGATAAAATATAAATAAAAGGAAGTAAAGTATTTATTCATTTGAAATACTCTCAATTTTTCCAACAATCCTCCACATATTTCAAGTGAATAATTTTAGATGTTAAAAATAGTTTAGAAAATTTCTGTTGGATTAAAGGAGTGAGACTTTAAGTTTTGTCACTACAAAAAAATTCGCCTGTAGTCACGGACTTAGTCACGGACCGCAGTGTAAACAATCCGTGACTAACTATGTTAGTCACGGATTTTGTCCGTGACTAAGTCCGTGACTAATTCCGCGTGACTACAATGTAGTCACTAAATTCGGCCGTGACTAAGTGTAGTCACGGATTAGTCACGGACCAGGTCCGTGACTAATTCTTGACCGGAATTGCTACTCCGGCACGGTAGTCACGGACCTGGTCCGTGACTACCTTTAATTTATTTATTTTTTTATTTTAGTCACGGACCGATCCGTGACTAAGATTTTTTTTTGTTTTTAAAATTCGGCCATTTTAGTCACGGACTAATCTGTGACTAAGTTTTGAAATTTTCGAATTTTTAAAAGCCCGCGGTTTACATTTTCAAAATTTTGTATTAGTCACGGACATGTATCCGTGACTATTTTTTTTAAAAAAAAAATAAATTTTGAATTTTTAAAATCGTTCGGGACAAAAAAAATAGTCACGGATTTAGTCCGTGACTAAAGTTATTGTTTTTTTAACAAAAAGTTTTTCCATTTTAAAAAAATAATAATTAAAAGTTGTTTTAATTTTTCTTTAGAGCAATTATTAGAACATTAAATGAAAAACAAAATTCATACAATGTTAAACATAAAAAATGTTATTACAGACTGAATTAAAAAACTAATATGAAATGTTAAACTTAAAAAATGTATTATTACATGCCCGCACGTCGGACTACATTATGATAAAAATTAGGATCATCATAATCATATGCAACATTATTATCATCATAATCATGATGATGATCCTCTTCAGCATCCACGGTGTCTAAGGGTCGGGAACCTCCTCGGCTGCCTCCTCGGTTGCCTTCTCGGTTGCTTCCTCGGCTGCTTCCTCGGCTGCCTCCACCGGATGACTGAAATTGATTGAGAAAATCAGACGACAGAGATCCGAATGTCGACCCTATTGCAGGAATGGTACCATATCCGGAGTTAGAATGATAACCCATATGACCCATCTGCGGAACCTGAGGAGTCTGCTCAACGTGCAACATGTACGGCCGAGGAAGACGCTGATATCCAGACTGCTTTTGGAATATTGTTACCCTGATATTCTAGATCAACAGACAGTTCGGGCCTATCACACCAAATAGTCATATCTTTTCGAGATGTAAGACCGTCTTTAGTTTTGCCTTTGAAATCCATCAATGTGTTTAATATATTGTCAAACACGTTCTTCTCAGTATGCATGACATCTATATTGTGACGAATGAGAATGTCTTTCCAATATGGTAACTCCCAAAAGATACTCCTCTTTGTCCACTTATGAGTATCACAAAACCCATATGGATTCTTATTTGGTTCTTGCATAACCGTAGGAATTCGTCGAACCCGGTTAAAAATTGCTTCCCCGGTCAATCTCGGGGGCGGGGTGTCTCGTACCACTCTACCTCTAATGAAAGACTTTTTGTCCGGTTTTCCGGGAGAAACTTGCGGTGACAATCAAAGTAGCTTGGTTTTTTTACTGAAAGTTAGCCAATTGGCACCTGATTTCTCCATGCATGTCGGACATCCCATAAGACCATGTGTGCTCCACCCCGAAAGCATGCCATAGGCAGGGAAGTCGTTAATGGTCCAAATGATGGCATCTTTAATTATAAAATTTTGATCCCTTGAAACATCATATGTTGGTGTCCCAATGGCCCAAAGTTCTTTCATCTCCTCGATAAGGGCTTGGAGATAAATGTCTATCTTTTTTTCCTGGATCATTGGGACCCGGACAGATTAGAGTCAAAAAGATAAAGTGACTTTTCATGCACATGTCGGGAGGAAGATTGTAAGGAGTTAACATGACCGGCCAACATGAATAGTTCTTCCCAAACCTTCCAAATGGAGCAAATCCGTCTGAACACAATCCCAGTCGCACATTTCGTGGCTCCATTGCAAACTGAGGATGACAACGGTCAAAATGTCTCCAAGCTTCACAGTCCGAAGGGTGAGACATCACACCGTCTTTTGTTTCGTGCTCAACATGCCATGTCATGTGTTTCGCAGTAGCAGTCGAAGCGTACATCCTCTGAAGTCGTGGAGCTATTGGAAGGTAATACAGTTTAGATAATGTCGACCTATTTCGTGGTTTCTTTCTACTTTGAGGAACATGTTTGTATCTGTTTCCACCACAGAACTTGCAGAATTCAAGTGCCTTATCATCCTTCCAGAACAACATACATTCTTCCGGGCACGAATCAATTTCTATATAAGGTAGCCCCAACTTAAACATTAATTGTTTCATGCGATAATATGAATCGGGAAGGTTATGATCACGTGGTAGCATCCCGCCTACTGACTGCAAGACTCTACTCATGCAAGTTTCTGGGAGACTGTATTCAGCTTTTATGTTCATAAATTCTGTAACGGCGGATAGCTGAGAGTATCCCTCACAATCAGCATACAAGGGTTGATCGGCTGTTTTTAAAACATATTGAAATCTTTGAGCTAAACCTTCATCCACATAAGGTTTATAAAATATCGGATTTTCATCCTCATGTGGTTGATACGAGGTCGAGGCTTCAGGAGGATCGTTAGATGGTTGTGGGGGTTGAACTGAGACACCGATGCACCGTATGCGTCATATACCATACGTTGCCCCCATCTCATTTCAGCAGGGTCTCCCCACGCACTCATCTCTGCAGGGACGTTACAAGACGAACCTACCGTTTGTGGTAAAACAGATGGATCCAAAGGTTCGCCATGAGAAGTCCAATTATAATAATTGGGAACGAAACCGTTCGCGTACAAATCCTACCCAACTTCGTCTGGGTGTTTAAATTTGAGATTTTTACACTTTGAACATGGAAATCTGATTTTAACACCACTCATATAAGCCGGGTGTTCAAGTGCGAATTTAATAAACTCCTCAACTCCTTCAAGAAAATTTGATTGCATTCCGTACAATACCTAAATTCTATTTTGTCTATACATTATGCCTGAATATTATAATAAAAAAATTATACAGGTTAAAAACTCTAAATTATAAACATTACCAACATATGTGGAGTATTATTAATATATTAAATTTCAATGCAATCATTTAAATTATTAACTAATAACCAATATTATGATTTCAACACTAAATACACTAAATTATTACGTTAATTTTTTATGTGTACGAACATTTATATATTAAATGTCACTTAAATTCAATTAAAATTAACTAATTCCCTAAAATTAACTAATTCCCTTAAATTTCACTAAAATTCCCTTAAAATTAACTAATTCCCTAAAATTCCCTTAAAATTAACTAATTCCCTTAAAATCAACTAATTCTCTTAAATTTCACTATAATTCACTAATATTCCCTTAAAATTAACTAATTCCCTTAAATTTCACTAAATTTCACTAAAATTCCCTTAAAATTAACTAATTCCATAAAATTCCCTTAAAATTAACTAATTCCCTTAAAATTAACTAATTCCCTTAAATTTCACCAAAATTCACTAAAATTCCCTTAAAATTAACTAATTCCCTAAAATTAACTAATTCCCTTAAATTTCACTAAATTTCACTAAAATTCCCTTAAAATTAACTAATTCCCTAAAATTCCCTTAAAATTAACTAATTCCCTTAAAATTAACTAATTCCCTTAAAATTAACTAATTCCCTTAAATTTCACTAAAATTCACTAAAATTCCCTTAAATTTAACTAATTCCCTAAAATTAACTAATTCCCTTAAATTTCACTAAAATTCCTTTAAAAATAACTAATTCCCTTAAAATTAACTAACGTCCAATAATTAATATTATTAAACTATAAACATGCACAATACGTTAATGGAATTTAATCCACACTACTAAAATTAACTAATTCCCTTAAAATTAACTAATTCCCTTAAATTTCACTAAAATTCACTAAAAATCCATTAAAATTAACTAACGTCCAATAATTAATATTATGGAACTATAAACATGCACAATACATTAATGACATTTAATCCACAATACTAAAATTATCAACATCTTAATCTTATTAATAATGCACATTTAACAATTTACTAAATTAAATAATATGAGCAAATCCAATAATTTGAGCATATATATATATATAATAAACTCATTTAAATTAAATAATACTTAAATTTAACTAATTTATAATTTTTTTCACTAATTTACGTAATTCACAATCATAAATCATCATAATTAAGTAATGTTTCAATTAACTAACCCTAATTTAAATCATTATTAATCCTAAATTAGGCCGTCTTAACAATAATTGCTAATAAAGAAATCATATACTTATATTTAATCATATATAAACTCATTTGAATTAAATAATACTTACATTTAACTAATAATATCATCTACAATTTAACTAATTTACGTAATTTTAATTAAATACAATTTAATTAACCCTATGTTTAAATTACACCTACGTTTAATGTAACTAAAATTAAGGAATTTATTTCGTTAATTAATTAAGTATTTAATTTAATTACTTAATGCATTTAAATGCATTTAATTTAAATTTAACCAATAATATTAACAAAAGTTTAATTAACTAATGTAGCTAATTAATTAATTTAACTTAATGCGTCACTACGATTAAACCTACGAAACTCCAGCAATTATTAATTAAAATAATTCAGCAATCTGAAATTTCTAACAGCATCGTAATCTTATATGGCTATAAAAACATACACATACACAAAAAAAAGATTGTGAAATGAAATCAACCAATTCATAGAAATACCTGGAGTGTGAGCCTGATGCTTGGATATATATCATGGGCAGAATACGATCTAAGCATGGGGAATAGGCAGAGTGTGAATAAATCTTGCTATTGGAGTTCGCTGACCGGGGTTTATTGAAAACATGCGACCGCGGGGCTGGATGTGCGCCGACGATCTTGGAACGAAGACCCTGCATCGGCAAAGGACCTTCGGCAGCAGATCTAGAGGGCGGCGTGCTTCAATATTCGGTCTAGAAGATGAAGAGATTCGTCTGCAATATTATAGGGCTTCATCGGCACATCCGGCAATCGTTGGGCTTCAGCGGCAGATCCGGTGCTCGTCATTATTGCAACGACGGGATCCAACTGGCGGCAACGAGATACTGAGTGGAGCGGCCGATTGAGAGGGGTGGCTATTGCCTTGAGCACCAAATGCATATCTGGTCGGTCCATTCTTATGCATAGGTATTTTCTGTAAAAACAATCGTTGCGATATTGAGGAACTCTCAGAGACGGATCTGGCAGGGGAGTGTTTTTCAGCGAAGGGATCCGGTGGGGGCGTCTTTTAGCGACGAGATCTGGCGGACAGTGCCTTTCAACGACGAGATCCTATGGGCGATGTATTTCAATGACGGCGGCGACATTCGCATAGCAGCGAGTGACTCCCCAGCGGCAACGACCTCAGTGGTAGATCCGGCGATTGAAATGCGGTGGACAACTTCGATCTCGATCCTATTCATGATGAAGATTGGGCGGTCAACTGATATGGCGGTTGGCTGGGCGGCCGGCTCATTGTTCTACGACGGAACACATGTGAGAAGGAGAGAGAAAGCTAGGTTAGAGTTAGGCTCGTGCTGATAACGTTGGGTTTACAAGTACAGACCAATAGGCCCATAATACATCATTTATATAGAAAAGCCCTAATACATATTCTATCTAAACGATAGCACACAACATAGAATTTCTTTCAACAACAATTCTATTATTCTACCATTGGTGTGTCACCCCTTAAATCACCAATCTTTGATTTTTACTTAGTACACTAATATAATATCAGTTAATAGTTATGATAAGTTTTTACTTTTTATTATCGAATTTAGATTTGAAGTTGTTGACTTACTTATTGATTGTTGTCTTGTTGAATTGTGAATTACTGAAATTGTGAATTTGTTCAAATTGTTGTTTGATCCTAAATTTGCGTATTTTAAATTTGTGGAAGTATTAAATATGGAGTATCATTTTGCCAAATAATGAAATTGTGAATATGTTTTTAGCTTTTCTTGTTAAAAATGACTATGAAATGGAATTGTGATTTTGCGAATAATATTATGATTTCTTCCATAAAAAATTAAAATATCATTAAATATATATAGTTTAATTAATATTAAAGTGTAATAAAATTGAAAGAATCTAGACGAGATATAGTGAGAAAAAGAAAGAGAGTAGAAGAAAAAGTTACAATAATTTTTAGACCATTTATAGATCACATGCTCGTAGGCCGGCCCTTAAAATCTACTTACACTAATATAGTATTTGAGACAAGTTTCAAGCAAATTTGGTAACTTATTAGTTTACAATCCTGTGCAAGGAGAAATATTTTACTCCGTATATGGTTATATACATCCAACGGTAGAGTCGTTGAAAATGATTAAGTTGCCATAAATAGAAGTAAAAATGTTTTTGAAATTTCAAAATAGGACTATCATGTTTTTTATTACTTAAATTGGAGTAATCTGTCAAGTTTGGAAGAAAATGCCATGTTTAAAGCCTAGTAATGTCAAACTTGGCAGAAATTTACTCTTATTCAAGGAATAAAAAACATGATAGTCCTAGTTTGGAATTTCATAACGTGTTTACTCCTATTTAGGGAATTCTCTCAAGATAATTTTATGGTCCTATTTGAAAATATTTAATATAGTTTGTCATTTATGTAATATAAGTTGTACGTATTTTCATTCTATATACATATTCAAGAATGTATTTAGATATTTACTTTTCTGATATCTATAAATTACATCTCATGCAATGCACAAGTGAAATACGGAGTATTAGTATTAGTATACATAGTATATATTATGAGAGATTAAAAGTTTTACATGCATAAGTTAGGTAAGTAAATTTTGATTGTGTTTGACTGTTTGTTAATAAGTGTGAAAGTTATGATTTCACCCTTTCGCTAGGTAGAAGTAGTTAAAAAACATCCTACTTCCGGCCGTCTCGAAAATGTTTGTCATATTAACTATTTTTGTCAATAATTTTAATTATTATATTAGTATAACTTTAATATGTATTCAATATAATTTCGTACATAATATGAAATAATATAATTGTTCAAAAAAACTGCCATTGACAAAAAAAAAGTCTGTTGTCAATTTTTTTTTGGGACAGAGGGAGTATCTCCAGTTGGATGGTTTCCGAGGTAAATGGCACGAGTTTTTAGGGCAATTAGTTAAATAAAGTAATTTGGGTAAAAAAGAGATGAAAGAGAAAATTTAGAAAAAGTAAACATATAAAGTGAAAGTAATTAAAGGGAGATAAGTTTGGGGAGGGGAATTTGTGAGACTTGACATGTCTGTCTGGTCTAAACTGGTCTGATAAATGTCTAGTCTCTGTATTTTATAAATATGAAAGTTTGATCTGGTCTGATCCGGTCTATTTAAATCCGATTTGGAACTGAAATCATTCCAAGTAAAAAACATTCTAAATTATTTTCTTAATGAAATGGGAGAATTTATATAAAACACTCAAACAAGGAAATTGTAACTTATCAAGTCAGTGGATGAAGTATAACATACTAGTAGTCGGTGTTCTCAAAGGCATCATTAGGCGCCGCCTAGGTGGGCCTAAGCGCGAGGCTTCCACCTAACACCCCGAACACCTATTAGGCAGCGGGCCTAAGCGCTAGGCTTCAACCTAACGCCGCGAACACCTATTAGGCGTGACAAAAGGCGGCCCAGTCCAAGAGTAAGCCGTTATTTAAAGGCCCACACTCTTGTTTATAGTGAAAATGCCTTTTCACGCCTAGCAGACGCATAAACTTGCCTAGGCGTCTAGGGCTTGAGGCTCCGTCATGCCGTCTTGGCATGTCTTGCGCCTTTTAGAACATTGCTAGCAGTTGTATAGTACTACGTATAATTTTTTTTTATCATAATTAGGGAATAGTAATTGTGATGAAAGAGAAAATTTAGAAAAAGTAAACATATAAAGTGAAAGTAATTAAAGGGAGATAAGTTGGGGGAGGGGAATTTGTGAGACTTGACATGTCTGTCTGGTCTAAACTGGTCTGATAAATGTCTAGTCTCTGTATTTTATAAATATGAAAGTTTGATCTGGTCTGATCCGGTCTATTTAAATCCGATTTGGAACTGAAATCATTCCAAGTAAAAAACATTCTAAATTATTTTCTTAATGAAATGGGAGCATTTATATAAAACACTCAAACAAGGAAATGGTAACTTATCAAGTCAGCGGATGAAATATAACATACTAGTAGTCAGTGTTCTCAAAGGCATCATTAGGCACCGCCTAGGCGGGCCTAAGCGCGAGGCTTCCATCTAACACCCCGAACACCTATTAGGCGGCGGTCCTAAGCGCTAGGCTTCAACCTAACGCTGCGAACACCTAGGGCTTGAGGCTCCGTCATGCCGCCTTGACACGTCTTGTGCCTTTTATAACATTGCTAGTAGTTGTATAGTAGTACTACGTATAAAATTTTTCATTTTTTCGATTTTTCGTTTTTTGAGGAATTTGCTTCAATCTCGGATGAGTAATTGGTAATTTACATTGTATTGGTGAATTGGCATCTATCGCAATGTTGGTTTTGCTGCATTAGCATAATAATGGAGCATCGATCTCTATGGTTCGAAGTTTCGAACCAGGTTCGAGATTAACTCGTCGTCTCTCTGACTCACCGCCCAAGTAGCTCATTCGCCTCCATCGTTCCATACCGTCGTCGCACACTCGGATGCCATATCCAG